CCACGCCAGCCAAATCCAAGGTGACCAAACAGCAGCCCACCACGCCGGAGCAGCTGCCAAGCGCCTCGGGGCTGCAGGAGCCAATGCGCAAGCGCTTGCCCATGCCCACGATGCATCCGCCGCTGCTGCGCCATCAGTTCCCATCACATGGTCCAACCGGTGGGCTTCCAGCTTCACTTCTACCTCCACCGCCGGGTGGACAACAGCAGCAGCAGCAGCCGCAGCACCCTCCACCGGGCATGCATCCAATGCTGCAGCGCCATTTGGCACCGCCGCCACAGGCCATGCAGCTGCTCCAGAGCGCACTCTCCGCTCCCCTGGGCCAGCCCCTAAGTCGTGCGAACTATGCGCCTGCGCAGCAACAACAATTGCCGGCCATGCAGCGCCTGCCCCTGGGCATGTCAATGCCCGTGGCTGCAGCGCATCTCATGCAGGCAGCCGCTGCAGCTGCTACGGTGCGCGGCCCAGCGCCCGGGACCGGTCCAGCACCTGATACCAAGCCGCGTGGTCGTCGAAAAAAGGTAACGCCTCTGCGGGATCAGCTGCAGAAGCAGCAAACCGCCGCGGCTGTCACAGCAGCCACTTCGTCGGTGGGCAGCGAGAAAGCAGCGCCTTCTGGCAAGGCTCAGCCACCGTCAGCGCCTCCACAGCTGTTCAAGCCCCATGAAGATGCCCCAGTTGCCGTCTCCCAGGCTTCCGTAATCACGCGCATGCCCATGCCATCGCTGCTGCCGCCGGCGCACTCACGCGTCCCGCCGCCATCAGCTGGTGCTGGCATGTACCCTAGCAGCGCGGAGCTGGCTCGATTCTATTCCCAGCCATTGCCGCCCAGCTCTGCGCTGCGTCCCACGTACGGTGCACCGCCGCCCTTACGGGGCGCACCACCCACGTCAACGGCATCCAGCAGTGCGCCTAGCAGTGGATCCAATGCACGTCCGCCACCGTATATGCATGGCCCGGAGCACCATGGCGGTCCGCCGCAGCCCGGATCATTGGCTAGCGTCTATAGCGCCGGCCCGCCACCGGCTCGTCATGCCTCGCCGCATCTGAATCCGTATAGGTGAGTTTAGACTGAAGACTAATGATTGTACTGTGTGTAAAAATAACTGTATATTCTGTTTTCAATTACAGAGCACCACCCATTTATGGCAATCCCAACTATCCACCGCGTGTGGCACCACCTGGCAGCGCCAATATGCGACCTGGCCCCGTGGACTATGCAGCCGGTGCGCGTAAGTATCACAAACAACGAAAAAGAATTTCTAGCTTAGCTCATTCTTCTTCTTGAATTCAAATGTATTTCAGGTGGCTATCCACCCTATGGCTATTATCCACCACCGCTGACTACGCCGCCTGCGCACGCGTCTGCGCCCAGTTCAGTGATTGTCAGTGCACCGCCACCGCCTTCTGTGACGCCTACAAATCATTCTGTTTCCGCACTGACTCGCGGCAAATCTCCAGCACCAGCTCCTTCATCAGCGCCAGCCCCAACACCGCCACCACCATCAGCAGCGGCAGCAGCACCACCACCATCAGCATCAGCTCCACCTCCGGTGCCAGTTACAACAGCAACACAAGCGCCAGCTGTAACTGCACCGCCTGTGTCGGTTCCACCGCCTGCACCACCAGCTGCTATCACATCGGAGATGCACAAATCATCGGTAATAACCAGCAAGAAACTCATCACCCTGGAGGCCTACTCCAATATCAAATCTCCGCTGGCTGTGGTTGGAGATGCCTCAGCCGACTCGCCAGCACCCATTGCCGAGGAGGACTCCAGCTCGGCCCATGGCAGCAGCAGCACCGCTGTTGCCGCGCACAGTGCTGGTGGCGGTGTCGGAGAGTTCAGTGGCCTGGTGAGCTACTTCAGCTCCCAGCAGGACGATTATGACACATAACAAACGCCGGCGGCAGCCCAAGCTTGTATATAATATAGTTGATTCTATGATTTAGAGATGTTGTGCTGGGATGTGTGACGTATGTGAATATCCTATGATAAGAGGGGATGTGGCTAGTCCCTGTTTCAGGCTATTTATTGAAAATTTCAATCCTCAACCACACATACATTCGCACATACCCACGCCCACATCGAACACCCATAACCGCAATTCGAAGTGCATATAAAGTAGCGTAAATAATGAAACTATGGGAATTTTTGTCAACTCGTTTGTTTATAAATTAAATATATATTTATTTTAAGTAAGGCTCTTATTTTCTTGACCATATGCTCTATGTGCTCCTAGAGTCGCTTCAAAAACAGCAGCAACTTAAGTATTTTAGTTTAATTGTATAGTACGAAAAATGCATGTTCGATTTGTTAATGTTTAGCTACCTAGATATGGCCGAATCATGGTCGAGCTATATCGATTATAGAAGCATTACATAATTATGATAATAATTTATATACCTACTACACACAGTCTACCCTATATGATATACACATATATACACATTTAGTGAACTAAAGTAAACTACAAAAAATAAATAACATCGCATATTATACAAAGTTAATTTACTTAACAGCTATTGATAAATGATGACGTATACTACAAATGAAATTAAAGAGAAGTAAATTATCAAATAAAACTAAAATTAGTTGAATAAAATTAACTGTGCAGGTTTATTTCTTTATAGGTGTATAGGTGCATTGAACCCATACACATAAAATTTATGCATTTATGTTAATTTCATTAAGTGACGAAGATAGCTGCTTGACAGTTGGGGGAGGGAGGGCGCTTTCTGATCAATTTATTAAATAATATGCCAATTTTAATTATTTTCTCTCAGCGCCTTTTCAAACCATTCGATATTATCTAACACATATAAGTTTATCGAATACATATGTATGTATACACATTTATTTACATATGTACATATATCAATTTAGATATTTGTGCATTTAACGACTCTATGAACAGATTTTAGACAATGGAAATTGGGTTTATCATATTTGCTTAACACCGCCTTTCAAATTTCATTAAGCGTATGCATGCAGGTTGGCTAAGGCTTTTTGCTCTTTTGTTAGCCAATTGCATACAAAAGCCATTTAAAGCATTAATTAAAATTGATAAAGCTTCCAAATATACATAGTTTTGATGGATTTATATTAGCAGAAATATCACAAAAGCCATATGCAGTGCCCTTCTGTGTAAATTGATATACGTATATAAATTTGTTGTTACTATATGTATGCCATATAAAAATATAAAACTGTTATGAATTTATATTGAAATTAGAAATTCATACAAGTTTTATATTCTTGTATAACCTAGGTACAGCTTTTTAATATATATATAATGCAACTTTCAACCAACTCGTAAATCGGGTTTTCAAAAAATTCGGTTAGACAACAAATTACTTACAATGCTTTAATATTTATCCACATACATAATGAAAAATATTAATATGATAAGTAAAATTTACAAATATACAAATTACATCAAGGCCTGTCGTAAAGCTTAAGCTTATGACTGATTAAATTCAAGATTGGAATATTCACATTCATCAGTTGAGATTAAATGAACACATCAACTTGATATATCGGAAGTACTAAGTCTCTTAAGTTTATGAGTTTGAGAAGATTTAGGAATAAAGCAATCGAGCGACAAGCTCAACATATCGACTCAACGTGGCTTAAAGAGGGTAATCTATTGATCGAACACTGAAATCTTAAGATGCTATTAATTGACATATACAGTATAGTTATGAATCATTGGGAAAATCTACAGTGCTTAAAACATTTCAGCTCGACCAAAACATGAAGGTAAACAATTGAATTCATAATTATGAATGTATAAATATTATAAATATATCTTAGTTATCAATATATAATTATGAATATATTTAATAATAAATAATAACTCA